CCAGATTTGTTCCATTTTCCGCTCCATCATCCTAGGTCTGTAAGTTTTGCCCTCAGGATGGCTTCCCTCATGGTCACAAACTGGTGGCAGTAGTTCCAGACATCGTATCCAGACACAACGTTAGCCAGAGGAAAGGAGGGATTATCTCTTATTTTATTCTTCTTGAGAATGAGGAAATCTGTTCCAGAAATTTCTGACAGACCACACTTCACAGCTCATTTACCAAGATTAGATCATATATCCATTACTAAACTACTTACTATGAAGGAGAATGGCATTACTATGATTGATGTGAACCAATCATTTGGGGACAAAATGAATGTTGGGGTGTCAACCACCATGGCTAACACGACATCTTATGCACTCCTTTTTTTTTTTTTTTTCTGAGATGGAGTTTCACTCTTATTGCCCAGGCTGGAGTACGATGACGTGATCTCGACACTGCAACCTCCACCTCCCAGGTTCAAGCGATTCTCCTGCCTCAGCCTCCCGAGTAGCTGGGATTACAGGCATGCACCACCACGCCTGGCTAATTTTGTATTTTTTACTAGAGACGAGGTTTCTCCATGACCGTCAGGCCAGTCTTGAACTCCTGACCTCAGGTGATCTGCCTGCCTCGGCCTCCCAAAGTGCTGGCATTACAGGCTGAGCCAACGTGCCCGGCCTTAAACACTCTTCTACCTGAGTATAAGTGACTAACTGGGGCTGGGCACGGTGGTTCACACCTGTAATCCTAGCAGTCTGGGAGGCCAAGGCGGGTGAATCACTTGAGGTCAGGAGTTGAAGAACAGTCTGGCCAATATGGTGAAACCCTGTCTCTACTGAAAATACAAAAAAAATTAGCTGGGTGTGATAGTGCATTCCTGTAATCCCAGCTACTCGGGAGGTGCTTGAACCCAGGAGATGGAGATTGCAGTGAGCCAGGATCAGGCCAGCTCATTTAATTTCTATCATGACAATTGTCAACATTATTAAAAATTCTCCTACTCATTCTTTTCATTGGCAATATTGAGAGCATTTTCTTTTATTCTTTTTTTATCCTTTTTTTTTTTTTTTTTTTTGAGACGGAGTCTCACTCTGTCACCAGACTGGAGTGCAGTGGCGTGATCTCAGCTCACTGCAACCTGTGCCTCCTGGGTTCAAGCAATTCTCCTGTCTCAGCCTCCTGAGTAGCTGGGACTACAGGCATGTGCCACCATGCCCAGCTAATTTTTGTATTTTTAGTAGAGACAGGGTTTCACTATGGCCAGGATAGTCTCAATCTTTTGACCTTCAGATCTGCCCACCTCGGCCTCCCAAAGTGCTGGGATTACAGGCGTGAGCCACCCGCGCCTGGATTATTTTTTAATTTTTTTTTTTTTTTTTTTTGAGACAAAGTCTCACTTGGTTGCCCAGGCTGGAGTGCATGCCACCACACCCGGCTAATTTTTGTATTTTTAGTAGAGATGGGGTTTCATCATGTTGGCCAGACTGGTCTCGAACTCCTGACCTCAAGTGATCCACCTGCCTCGGCCTCCCAAAGTGCTACAATTACAGGTGTGAGCCACCGTGCCCGGCTGCATTTTATTTTTGTAGATATTAAATGGTTATTTAATCAATTTTAGAAATTCAGATTGCCTTGAATTTTATCAGGATGACAAAGTTTATAGTAATAAATAGTCCAAATGTTTAATGGTACACTGGTTATCTCTGGACAGTAGAATAATCTCTAGCTAGTGGGTTTATATTACCATTAAAAAATTAAACCTCTCTGGTAATCTATCCTCTCATATCCATTTGCAGTCATTCTAGTCTACACTACCCCCCAACATGGCCCTCTCTCTCTCAATCTTTCCACTGCACAGTCTACAGGGATAAGAAACTACCCCCATATCCTCGACCTTTTTTTGTGGGCATGCATTTCTTCCACCTCCTTGCCCTAATTAAAATCTGATTCTTCCCTCCTTAGGGTACTGCTTTCTCTTGCTGCAGCTTGCTTCCTTCCTCAGGTATGAAGTTAAGGTTAGTATCTTCCTTGCCCTGTACTGCCACTTCTTTTTTTTTGAGACACAGTCTTACTCTGTCACCCAGGTGGAGTGCAATGGCACAATCTTGGCTCACTGCAACCTCCCTCCCAGGTTCAGGAGATTCTTATGCCTCAGCCTCCCTAGTAGCTGGGATTACAGACGCATGTCACCACACCCGTATGTATTTTTATTTTTTTATTTTATTTTATTTTTTAAGATGGAGTCTTGCCCTGTTGCCCAGGCTGGAGTGCAGTGGCACGATCTCGGCTCCTTGCAGCCTCCAACTCCCAGGTTCAAGTGATTCTCTGCCTCAGCCTCCCAAGTAGCTGGGATTACAGGTGTGTGCCACCACACCCAGCTAATTTTTATATGTTTAGTAGAAATGAGGTTTCACCATGTTAACCAGGCTGGTCTTGAACTCCTGACCTCAAGTGATCCACCTGCCTCTGCCTCCCAAAGTGCTGCAATTACAGGTGTGAGCCACCATGCCCGGCTTAATTTATGTATTTTTAGTAGAGACAAGGTTTCGCCCTGTTGGCCAGGCTAGTGTTGAACTCCTGGCCTCAAGTGATCTGCCCGCCTCAGCCTCCCAAAGTGCTGGGATTACAGGCGTGAGCCACCATGCCCAGCCTCCCTACTGCCACTTCTTAACAATTACTCCTCCATCTTTATGTAAAACCCCTTGATCTTTTCATGTTCATGTCACCTGGCTTGTCACCTTTTGTCTTACTTCAAGGCTATCATTTTCCTACTTGGTGGTTACTGCCCCTTATTAATTTTGAAGAGTTTGAGACCAGGTTCGTGGCTCTATTCTGTAACATCTATTTCTAATATTCACAAGTCAATGTCCAAACAATTTGGTTTATCATTTCTTTGACTTTCTCCACTTTCTCCCTCCACTTCCTCCCTTTTTACCTGGGATTCCACTGTCCCATAGAGAGCCATGGATAAAATTCAAGAAGTCTGTGAACTTGGACAGGGGAAAATATGTATACTTTTACTAAACACTAACTGAAATTTAGAATTTCCTTCAATAACAAATGTAGACTGTACACCACAGTAGTACTAGCAATATCTATGGGTTTGTCACCAATAGAAAGCACAGCTGTTTTTTTCCAAAGAGTCATCTGCATCCCCATGTTTATCGCAGCACTATTCACAATAGCTAAGATATGAAATAAACCTAGGTGTCCAACAACAGATAAATGGTTAAAGAAAATTTGGGCTGGACACAGTGGCTCACACTTGCAATCCCAGCACTTTGGGAAGCTGAAGTAGGAGAATTGCTTGAGCCAAGGAGTTCAAAACCAGCCTGGGCAACATAGCAAGAATCCATCTCTACAAAAAATTTTAAAAATTAGCTAAGTACAGTAGTGTGCGCCTGTAGTCCTAGTTCCTTGGGAGGCTGAGGTGGGAGTATCACTTGAGCCCAGGAGATTGAGGCTGCAATGAGCCATGCAGTGAGCCATGATAGCACCACTGCACTCCAACCTGAGCAACAGAGCAAGACCCTGTCTCAAAAGAAAAAAAAAAAAAAGGAAAACGTGGTGTATATATACACAATGAGCTACTATTCAGTCATAAAAAAGATTACATCATGTCATCTGCAGTAACATGAATGGAACCGGAAGACACTATGTTAAGTGAAATAAGCCAGGAACAGAAAATTAAACACAACACATTCTCACTCATGTGGAAACTAACAAAAGTTGATCTTGCCGGGCACAGTGGCTCACGCCTGTAATCCCAGCAATTTGGGAGGCAGAGGCAGGTGGATCACCTGAGGTCAGGAGTTCGAGACCAGCCTGGCCAACATGGTGAAACCCCATCTCTACTAAAAATACAAAAATTAGCCAGGTGCGGTGGCGGATGCCTGTAATCCCAGTTACTCGGGAGGCTGAGGCAGGAGAATTGCTTGAACCCAGGAGGCAGAGGTTGCAGTGAGCCGAGATCGCGCCATTGCACTCCAGCCTGAGGGACAAGAGTGAGACTTCGTCTCAAAAAAAAAAAAAAGTTGATCTCATAGAAGTAAAATGTAGAACAAAGGATACTAGAGGTTGGCAGGGCTATGGGAAATGGGAAGATAGGGAGAGATTTGTTAAAGGATATAAAATTAAGGCTGGGTGTGGTGGCTCATGCCTATAATCCCAGCACTTTGGGAGGTCAAGGTGGGTGGATCACCTAAGGTCAGGAGTTTGAGATCAGCCTGACCAACATGGAGAAACTCTGTCTCTGCTAAAAATACAAAAAAACTAGCTGGGCATGGTGGTGCATGCCTGTAATTCCAGCTACTCGGGAGGCTGAGGCAGGAGAATCGCTTAAACCTGGGAGGCGGAGGTTGTGGTGAGCCGAGATTGCACCACTGCACTCCAGCCTGGGCAACAAAAGTAGAACTCTGTCTCAAAAAAAAAAAAAAGATACAAAATTATAGCTAGGTAGAAGGAATAAGTTCTAGTGTTCTATACCACTGTGGGATGACTATAGTTAAACAATAATATATACTTTCAGATAACTTGAAGGAGGATATTGAATGTTCCTAACACAAAGAAATGATAAATGTTTGAGATGATGGATGTGCTAATTGCCCTGATCTGATGACTATACATTATATATATTGAAACATCACTATGTACCCCCACGAATATGTACAATTATAATATGTCAACTTAAAAACATTTAAAAGTGAAAAAAAAAAAATCCAAAACACACAAGGAACTGAGCCAGCATGAATAAGAATTAGCAAAATCTTCAAACCTCAAGACCAGACTCACAAGGACTTCAGATACAGAAATTTTAAATAAAAATTATGAAATGAGTATGTTAAAATGTGTAAAGAAATAAAGGGAGACATTGGTATATGATACAGAAATAAAAGACCATCAAAAATAATTCGTATGATATGAAAACAATCAAATAGACATTCTGGAATAAAATATATATAATGGACAGGAGTGAATATCCCTAGGCTCCTGACCTCTCTGCATTTACAAGTAGTCTGAGCGAGAAAATGCTGGAAGACCTCAGAAGCCAAGTGGAAGCCCCAGAGTGAAGCCAGGAGGGCCTTCATTTCAGACTCAGCAGCTGCCCACGGTCGTAGTTGACACACTGCTGTAGCATGTGTGCTGCCTGAACACTGACTGGCCACCCCCACAGCCCAGAACGCTGGCATCATCTGTACTATCAGCCCAGCTTCCTGATTGGTGGAAATGCTGATGATTAAGTCTGGAATTAATATGGCTTGTCTGAACTTTTGAGTACCACGCAGAGACCATCAAGAACGTGTGCACAACTCTGGAAAGCTTTGCTTCGAACCCCAATCTCTAGCGGCTAGTTGCTGTGGCTCTGGACACTAATGGGCCTGAGATACGAACTGGGCTCACACAGAGCAGTGTCCCCATGGAGGTGGAGCTGAAGAAGGGAGCCACCTTCAGATCACACTGGATAATGCCTACATGGAAAACTATGATTAGAACTTTCTGTGGCTGGACTACAAGAACATTTGTAAGGTAGTGGAAGTGCGCAGCAAGATCTACAGATGTAATAACTTATTTCTCTGCAGGCAGAGCAGAAAGGTACTGACCTCCTGGTGATAGCAGTGGAAAATGGTGGCTCCTTGGGCAGCAAAAAGGGTGTAGACCTTCCTGGTGGCTGTGGACGTGCTTGCCATGTCAGAAAAGGACATCCAGGATCTGAAGTGTGGGGTAGGATTGGATGTGGATATGGTGTTTGCCTCTTTCATCCACGTGGCATCTAATGTCCATGAAATTAGAAAGGCAATTATTGCACATTGGAGCAAGCTGCCCACTTGCCCACCGGAGTTAGGCTCTTACCTTCCCACAGGAACTAAGGCCCACAGCTATTTTTATATATCTTACAGTTCAGATCAGACACAAATATGTAAACCTCTACATTACTTCTATGTAGAAATTATGTTTCTCTTTAAGCCTGCCACAGATTTTGTTATTTAATGCAAATAAGCACATATATTACTATGGGACACTTTTGGTTTGTTTAAATATTTTGATAGTTGTATATTAATGTAAAGGGTTTCATTTGTAATCTTGTACAGACGGTCCGCAACTTACAATGGTTCAACTTATGATTTTTCATCTTTACAATGGTGTGAAAGCAATACATTTTCAGTAGAAACTGTAGGTCAAATACTCATAAAATCATTGTATTTTTCACTTTACTGCAATATTTAATAAAGCATATGAGATATTCAACATTTTAACTTTGCGTTAGATGATTCTGCCTAATTATAAGATAAAGTAAGTGTTCTGAGCACATTTAAGGTAGACTAGGAAAACTATGATATTCAGTAGGTTAGTTATATTAAATGCATTTTCAACTTACAATATTTTCAGTGGGGTTTATTGGAACATAACTTCATTGTAAATTGAAGAGCATCTTTTATGCATTTTAAAATATTTTTTGAGAAGGGGTCAATAGGCTTCATCAGACTGGCAAAGTCGTCTATGGCAAGAAAAGTTAAGGACCTCTGCATTTCATATCAAATTCTACTTGTTTTTAACTTCCCTTCCTATCCAGCCTAATTTCAAGGTTTATTGGTGGCCCTCTCATGCAATATTCCCAACTTCCTTACCCTGTCTTCTTTCCTGGGCAACTACTGAAATCACTTTTGCAAAAATTATAACAATGAGAGAAATCTAACATAACTGACTCTATCTTGCTTCTAACCTCACAAGGCCTAACTACTCTTGCTCATTCTCGGGCACAGTTCAAACTAACTATGGGAAGAATTTAGTTGATAGTTTAAAGCAAGGATGATAGCAGTCTCTTCTTAAAACTAACCCCTTATTGTTCAGGAACCAAAACTGCCTCCCTAAAGCTAATGAAAGTCCACAATGTTAGAATTATGGGAGTGGCCTGAATTCTGTGAAGACGTAGACACAGTTAAATGATAACAAGCCATTGTTCCCTAGCTTACTTTTCTGTAATTGTTTACTGTTCAGGAGTTACATAGCTGGAGGTCACAAGATTTGTAACCCTAATTGCTCCTATAAATAACATTACTATTGTAAAATCTAAAACTGGTCTTTGAGATATTTTTCAGACTTCGGCATCCTGGCAGATGCTAGCTGTACCTGTGGCCCATGCCAAAGAACTGACTCTATGGGTCCTGTGATTCCCTGACACCCCCCCACCCCATGCAGAAACTGATTCAGGGCACAAAGACAGTTTCAAAGTCCCTATGATTTCATCCCTAATCAATCAACAGCATTCATTCTCTAGACCCAGCCCACCAAATTATCCTTCAAAACCCTAGCCTCTGAGTTCTCCGGGAGGAAGATTCAAGAAATATCTCCCATCCTTCCATCCAGTTGCCTTGCTATAATTAAACTCTCTGCTGCAACACTGCTATCTCATTGTATTGGCTTTTCTGTGCAGTGGGCAAGAAGAATCCATTGGTCTGTAACACTACCTGGAAAAACCTAGCTATGGATTGATTCAACCAATTGCCTTTCCCAATAACATGCCAGTATTACTGAGCCTTGCTGCCTAAATCATATGGCAGCGCAGACTTATGCCACCATAAATTTATGGTCTCCAACTCAACCAGGTTCTCAATACTACAGGCAATTCTTGTTTCCCTTATCAGTTTTCTTTCTTTTTTTTGAGACGGTGTCTCATTTTGTCACCCAGGCTGGAGTGCAATGGCATGGTCTCGGCTCACTGCAACCCTGCAACCTCCGCCTCCCAGGTTCAGTGATTCTCCCACCTCAGCCTCCTGAGTAGCTGGGACTACAGGCACGTGCCAACACACCCAGCTAATTTTTGTATTTTTAGTAGAGACAGGGTTTCACCATGTTGGCCAGGCTGGTCTCAATCTCCTGACCTCATGATACATCTGCGTCAGCCTCCCAAAGTGCTAGGATTACAAGCATGAGCCACCGCGCCCAGCCACTTTGTCAGTTTTTGTTCCTCAGACTTCCTTTCTCCTCCACATCTCTTCACTCCTTCCTCCCCTATCTCAATTCTTTCCTCACCTAAAAATATGATTTTACCTCCCTCTTCATGGAGAATTTTGATGTTGTCAGACAACACAATTTCCTTACACCAGTTTTCACATGTATCCACTGTTTTTCATTCCCTCTCACTACAATAGAATGGTGTCCTCTGGGGTAAGGCAAATTTCTCCTCCAGTGCTCTGAATCACATTCATTCATTCATTCATTCATTCAACAAATACAGAATTTACTAGTTTGTTATAGGTTGAATTATGTCTTCCCAAAAAAGATATGTTGAAGTCTTAATCCCTAGTACCACAGAATGGAAATAGGATCATTGCAGATGTAGTGAGTTAAAATGAGGTGACGCTGGAGTAGGGTGGGTCCTAATCCAATATGACTGCAGTCTTTATAACAGAGGGCCATAAAAAAGACAGACACAGAGAGAACATCATGTGACGATAAAGGTAGAGGTTGGAGTTATGCACTACAAGCCAAGGAATGTCATAGATTGCCTGTATGCCACCAGAAGCTGAGAAGAGGCAAGAAAGGTTTCAGAAGGAGCATGACTCTGCCAACTTTGATTTCAGACTTCTAGCCTCCAGGACTGTGAGATAACAAATTTTGGTTGTTTTGAGCCACCCAGTTTGTGGTACTTTGTTATAAAAGCCCTAGGAAACTAATGTGCTATTATCAGCACAAAACAGTAAGCAAAACAAAGATCCCTGCCCTTGCTGTAGAGCTTAACTGCCCTTCTAAAAGCCTAGACATATAGATTATCTCTTTTTTATCCCCTGTTTTCTACTTCTCCCTCTCTTCTGGCTCCTCTCACTTTTAAATGTCCCAAATCTCTTTATATAAAAATTATAATATTCCTTGCCTTCAAGTTTCCTTCTAGCTACCAAGTTATTCCACAGTCTTCTTTTACAGTCACATTTCTTGAAAGAGTTGTCTACACCTGCCTTGTATGCTGATCTACTCACAATGTAGCCCACTGCATTCTCATCTTTGCTTCCATCACTCCACTGAATTTGTCCTTGCCAACGTCAACAGTTAACAGTCTTAGCCACCACCTTTTTTTGCCTTGATTATTATAGTGCCCTCTATATTGGTCTTTTTGCCTCTGCTGTGGCTCTCAAAGTGGGATTCATGGGCAGATGACCTGTGCAGTCACCCAGGGCTTCACACTCAAAGGGCTCCATGCTTGGTTTTAAGCTCTACTATTGCCAACTTGAAATTCTTAATAATTTTATCTTTAAACTTGTATTTTGTAAGTGAAGCCCAATGGGACAATAGAGCATATGTGTGAGCAGGGGAGAGATATGCAATATGTGTGCCTACCATTTTTTGCTGTTCCATTTCCATACAGTAGCCATGATGCCTCATGAGCACAGGATTCCAGTGGACCCATGATATGTGGGAGTTCAGTAAGTCTCGAAGTAAGTACAAAAGAAATGTGCTGAGTCTCAGTGAGCACAGAAAAGCCATGCTTTCCACTGGGGAATCAGATCTTGCTTTGAAGAAACAAAGAAGGCAATGACATTCTAAGAATCTTCAGGGCCAGGAGTGGTGGCTCATGCCTATAATCCCAGCACTTTGGGAGGCTGAGGTGGGAGGATCACCTGAAGTCAGGAATTCAAGACCAGCCTGGTCAACATGGTGAAACCCCATCTCTACTACAAAAAATTAGCCAGGTGTGGTGGTGCACACCTGTAATCCCAGCTACTCAGGAGGCTGAGTCAGGAGAATCTCTTGAACTCAGGAGGTGGAAGCTACAGTGAGCCGAGATGGCACAACTGCACTCCAGCCTGGGTGACAGAGCAAGACTCTGTCTCAAAAAAACAAAAAACAAATGTTTCTGAGACTTGCCAGAGCCTTCCCTTACAGTTGCATTTTACACAATGATACTCAAAAGGAAAAAGGGATCGGGAATCCAGCCTGCACTCTGCCTGTACTGCTTTGCATCCTGACATGGGGGTGCAGTAATGACCTTACACCAAGGAAAAGAAGCCACTATTTTGGGGCCCCCACTTGATAGTAGTGTGTCTAATCTCCAAAGTGCATGCAAATCAATTTAGGATCTGCAGATTCTTCTTTAATTGGTCTGAGATGAGACCTGAGGTTCCTCATTTTTGCGCACTCCCCAGGGGTGTCCATGCTGTGTCCAAGGACCACATTTTGAGTAACCAAGCTTTAGAGGACCTTGCTCTTGGATTTCTCATGCCATGCCACTTTGACATGAAAACCCATTTTCAGCTAGGCATGGTGGCACATGCCTGTAGCCCCAGCTACTCAGGAGGCTGAGGCAGAAGGATTGCTTGAACCTAGGATTTCATGTCCAGCCTGAGCAACATAGCAATACTCCATCTCTTAAATACATACACACACACACACACACACACACACACACACTCTTCTAGTTCAGTTACCCAGGACTACGTATTTTCCTGCTCAAACAGTTGAAAGTTCACTTCTAACTGTTTGCTGGGAGGAGAGGGAATGGTGAATAGAACTTGGATTACTAGGACAGAGTGTTCAGATGTATATGGACAAAAAGCCCTTTTTGGATAGGGTGGAGTTCAGGGTGGGAAAAGAAGGGGTGCAGGCTTGAAGTTATGTGCCTACATTGAATTTTTTTTTTTTTCTTTGATGGAGTCTCGCTCTGTCGCCCTGGCTGGATGGCTGGAGTGCAGTGGCACAATCTCGACTCACTGCTACCTCCGTCTCCCCTCCCGGGTTCAAGCGATTCTCCTGCCTCAGCCTCCAGAGTAGCTGAGACTACAGGTGAGTGCCACCACGCCCGGCTAATTTTTTGTATTTTTAGTAGAGATGGGGTTTCACCATATGGGCCAGGCTGGTCTTGAACTCCTGACCTCGTGATCCGCCCGCCTCGGCCTCCCAAAGTGCTGGGATTATAGGCGTGAGCCACTGCGCCCGGCCACCTACATTGAATTCTGAGTCCAAGAATTCTAAATTGGTACCTGAATCTTTGAGGTCACTATGAAGTTATATAAGTCAAGGTAGAAGGGTAGAACACTTTCTCTTTTTTTTGAGATGGAATCTCTCTGTCATCCGGGCTGGAGTGCAATGGTGCCATCTTGGCTTACTGCAACTTCCCCCTCCCAGGTTCAAGCAATTCTCCCATCTCAGCCTCCCAAGTAGCAGGGATCACAGGCACCTGCCATAATGCTCGGCAACTGTTTTGTATTTTTGTAGAGATGGGGTTTCACCATGTTGGCCAGGCTAGTCTTGAACTCCTGAC